CAAAGACTTTTTCCAGTATGTTCTGAATGCTGGATTGGACCTCTGAGTTGGTCGCAACCGGAATAGTTTCACATCATGGCCCTATCCCGGACAGAGACCACCCACGTTAAAAACGGCGGAGTTAAAGGCAGCGTCCAGCCTAATCTGGACGCATGGGGCTCTCACTTGGAAAGTAATGTTGAGGCCCTAAATAAGACTCTGCCCTAGCGCTCAGACATTGCACTTACGGTTAAGATACTGGCCTCCAAAATATGCCCCGCAGTCGTATTCGCATGGATTTCATGGCATCACACATCAGTGTCGCGCAAGGATCCACGCAAAACTGATGTGGAGCAAGGAAACCATACGAATACGATTGCGAGGAATACTTTGGAGGCCAATGTCTGCCGTGAGTGCAATACCTGAGCTGCTCTTGGGCAGAGTCTTATTCAGGGCCTTAAAATTACTTTCCCAGAGCTCCATAGGTTCATATTTCCTGGACGCTGCCTTACGCGCTTCGATTTCAAAAGCGATAACTTGGTTCTATACCTTAGATGTAGAACACTTGCACATTACTTAGCCTGAAGTGCCATTGCAGCAGACGAGAATTTAATTACCCCAGCTCTTGACCAAGGCCTTTGAGTTAGTTTGACAACTAGTCTTTTACGCGGAATCAGTGAGCACTAAAAATAGCTTCGGATTTCACGGTCTTCGAGATTCCCTTGTAAAGCTTGTTTCTTTACCTACTTTCTGATTTAATCAGATAGACGGCTGAAGGGCGCGGCTTTGGCTTCAGAGTCTGCATCTCCAACGCTTCCGTGCTCTTCACTCAATCGAAACCCCGCCCTCAAGCCGCCTATCTGTTTGAATCAGAGGGTATGTACTCTTCGTTTGATGACCCTACAAGACAGAACAATGTAACAATATTATTTTATTAAAAATAACAATATTTTTTTTAAAATAACAATATTATTTTATTACAATTCTGAGGAACGTTGAGCAACCTTCATGAGCGGAGGAGGTATATAATCAAGCTAAGGTAGATGCAAAAATGCTTTGCATTATCTTTGGGAGATCAGATGTGTTTTCACAAACAAATGCTTTTCCAACTGGCAACGACTCTTTGAGCCTGGAACAGGGATATATCAAAAGTATCGCAGAACTGAATGCTTACCTGGCTGCTTGTTCGCCGAGAGAGCCAATCAATATCACAAATGAGCGGACATCTTCATTTTTGTTCATGGCCCTCACCAATTCTTTAGGCGATATCCCATATCTATCCAGATTTGCGTCAGAGATAAGAACGACAAACTTTTCGTCACAGTCTTTCTTCTTGCTCAAAAATTGAATCGCATCTTCCAGACCCTCTACCGTAAAGTCACCGCTGGAGCAAAACTGAAGTGGTAGGGATAGATCCGGCGAAATGTTCTCAAAACACTAATCACAGAACCTGGGTATGAGCTAACATCTGCTTTAGAATGTCCAGTCGTTCTTTATTGTTTTGCGGATAGTGTCCTTCCTTAACGAATTCTGTGCAAGGGCCATCTCCAGAGTGTCCAGTGATGTCATACTAAAATCCTACAATTCTTTTATGAAGAGAAAAACCAAAATCAAACCCACAATGATCTTATCACTTTTGCCTTCGAATGAAGTCATAACCAAGAGAGCCGCTTCAAGAGATTTGTTCAGTCTTTTATCATAACCATTAAAGCGATACATTGAACCAGACACATCAAAGCATAGTCTCATCCTCTTTGGTTTCATTTGCGGTGTACCGGGTTCAGGGACTTTATCTATGCGCCGTCTAGAAATCATGACAGTGTTCACATGCTTACAGCAAGTTCAAAGCTGACTTATAGATATTTCTCTCGCCGGTGATTCCCTCAATAAGTTTCCCATCATCAAGGTCACCGGTAGTTTGATGACGAGCCCACTGACGCTCTTTCTCTTTCGCTTCTAGCTGCTCAACAATGGATCGCAGAAGACTAGACTGCTTCTCGATTTTATTCCAAAGCGCCATGTATGCATCTGCATCATATTCAGACATGGCAATCTCCTGAATTATCAAATCATTGACTCGCGAACACGAAAAAGTAGAGCTCTGATATCATGCAAATGGCGTCTACCTTGAGTTTCTTTTGATATTCAGCCTTTGCGATCTCTCTGGCTTTTCGTAATATATGCTCAGGAACTTGTCGTTTGGCTGATTCAGGCATTTGATGCACATCATGCCCCGCGTCCAGTCTAAATGAAAACTTGTGATATTTACGGTTTTAAAGCAGTGTGAAATGGATTGGTCGTATCTTTTGCTTTCACAGATTCATTTGTGATTACAATGGTCAAACGTGGCGTGTGGCACGCCGCACCTGGGGGAAAGGTACTGAGGTCTTGGAAAGGAAACGGGGTTGTAATCAATGTGATACCGATCTTACAAGGGAAGTACATGATAGACTAGCTATTCATGCTTTTCATTCGCGAGTTAATTTAGTCGAGAAATTGTTTGAGTATGTTGAGTGACTCTCCTCGTTAGTGAAAATGTGATATGTATTGTTGACAGAGACAAATAAGCTCACTATGCAAAAGAAGCACACTGAGGTTTTGACCTACCTTTGTACAGTAAGCCCCTATACCTTACGTACAGTAAGCATGATAAAGAAGCCCTAACAAACATAATGAGTAGAGTTTCCGTAAGGATGCCAAATAACCCCTGTGGATCAAGTTCTAGCGGATTCTGAGGTTTGCAAATGTTGGGCCACCCAACAGGCTATCTCTGCATTCCATACAAAGCGCTACTCCTTTGCCCACATGAGAAATTACACTCCAAACAGCCTGGTATATCAAGGAAAACTATATGGCGATTGATACCCTGAGTGCGAGGGTGTCAACAAGCAGTGTACAAGTAGCACCGCCTCACCACCGAAGGAGCTCACGGAGACGGTGCACTTGTAGATTATATGCCTAAAGTTTATTTTCCTTATCCTTGCTTAATATTATAGGCTCTATCACATTCTTCGAATAGAAATAATCAGTAATTCTGTCACTGTAAATATCTGGTAGGTTCAAGCTTCAGCACGTGAGAGGTGTCAGCTCGTATGACTAATGTAAGGAATGCAGTCTGTTAAAAAATGAGATCTGGAATTATGTCTCTGCTTTCTGGAAGGGAATCTTATATATAAAGCTGAATGTCTGTTTGTATGTA